GAACACAAATACCTGTATTTAACACAAGACACATTTTGTCCATTAATCATTTATCAGCTGTACTTTCTACTTCTTACATGTTGAACACAAATACCTGTACTTTCTACTTCTTACATGTTGAACTCAAATACCTGTACTTTCTACTTCTTACATGTTGAACTCAAATACCTGTACTTTCTACTTCTCTCATTTTCCAAACAGGCTGGTTCCTTTAGTCTGAATGTGTGTTTGGTGGCGTGATCATTATTATTTAGAGTCATTGCGTGCCTATTGATTTGAACACGATCCGTGTATCCATCATTCCCTGGTCTTCTCTAAAGAAGAGGGACCAATGAAAACGTTGTCATGTTGCCGTTGTTCAGCATGGAAACATTCATTAGCTAACAATGACATTATTGTTCTATTAATATAAAGGGAGGTCAGGTACTCTTTAAAACAGCTGCTAGTTATGGGTACTTTTTACTGAAGTACATTTCAAAGTTCTTTACTTTTACTTGAGTAAAGAAGTTTAGTCAATACTTCTACTTTCACCAGAGTATTTTTAAACACGAGTATGTGTACTTCTACTTGAGTAAAGGATGTGTACTTTTGCCCTCTCTGCATACAGTATTCTACGCTCACCTGGTGAAGATGCCCACCCCCAGCAGGTGCAGGGCAGCGATGGCTCCTCTGGACATCCCGGATATTTTGGGTTCTCCATCTGGGTTCTGCAGAGGGTCATTGATGTCGTCCCAGTACCACGAATAGCTGAAGATCTGCGTCACCAGCAGCCCAGTCAGAACAAACGTCAGAGTCAGAGCAGTCCATAAATAATCCTTCTGCTGAAAATACCTCAGCGCCAGGAGCACATCAGTGAGAACATCCACTACGTAGAAGAGGAGTCCAGCGATGGTGAGCAACCAGCGATGTTTAGCGTAGCTTTGGACCTCCGACTGGAGCATGCTGTCCGTAGAGGAACTCATCTAAAGGTTTGAAATATGTAGAAGTGTTCGGGTGGATGTGTGCTCAGTTTCCCTCTGGACGTTGTGAAGGAAATCTGCGCTGGAGGTGTCGGACTGCAGCTGTGCAGGTGCCATGTTGTTAGTCTGTGAACAAAAGCATGTTTCTTTTAGGGAAACATTTACTTTACTTGCATGTAATTAACTTCAGTATTCCCTACACATAAAGTGCTTTCTACCACTTTACCGTATTACAACTCATACAAAACATTGCAAACATGAATCAATACTACAGGATTGAACTAGTACATTCCATTTACTGCAGCAAAGAAATGGGTTGAAGGTAAAAACAAAGAAAAGAAAGCAGTGCTGGAAGTAACTAAGTACTTTTACTGTACTTAAGTCTAATGTGCATGCACTTAACTAAGTATTTCCTGCAATACTCCAAAACATCCAGAGGGTATTTAGTGCTTTTTACCACATTTCCGTGATTAATTTAGTTATATTACAACTCATACGAAACACATTGGACGATTAAATGTTGATTTATTAATATTTAGTTAGCTACACAGCAGTATGTTGAAGTTATGAAATATTATCTCTTACTACTTAAGTCTAATGTGCATGTACTTACTTCAGTACAAATAGTGCTTTTTACCACATTTACTTGATTCATTTAATTATTTTACAACTCATACAAAACATAAATGTTGATTTATGAATACAGATGTATCCACAAACCAGTATATTTAACATTTTTAAGAATGAACTCCACCTTTACCAGCTTCAACTTTACTTTTACAAGTCTTTCGTCAACTTATTTTGCATAATGCATACTTTCACTTGAGTGTTTTTAAGTATTTTAAACACAGTTGCATCGTTTATTTTGTTACTGCTCAACTGCCCTCTGATCCCGTCTGTTGAGATCTTCATATTAGGATGAATACTTAAAACGAAAGTTAATTTTAATCAATTATATTCTTGTATAACCCACAATGAAAATGCTTCATATTTTATGATTTTCTATATTTACAGTATAAACAAAACACAAGTGGTTTGTTAAGTTGAGTGTGAGGCCTATAATGGTTTATGGGTGTCACTGATAAGAGAGAGACAGTTTCTTCCCTCTCCCCTCACAGCAGTACACAGGGATGGGGGCTCCGGACTTAAGGAGAAATACATTGAGGCCTCAAAAGGGTGGTTATGTCATAGCTGAGAATAATATTTTGCAAGTCCTGCAGAGTAGGGGTCATGTCCTTTTTACACAAACATGGGAAGGTGTGTCTTATGCCATAGCCAATAGAATATGTCTGATCATGTCCAGTCCTGTACATCAGAGGCCCTGCCCAGTTTCCACAAATATGGGTGTGGAGGAGGGGTCTTTAGGTTTTTATATCCTGTTGAGCATAAAGACACTGGCGGATGGGGAGGAACTTTTTTTTGGAGAGAGCGAGATAGAGGGGGGGTTCCCCTGGTATACTCTCTCCCGGTAAGCTCTGTCCCTCAGAGCTGGGTTTTTGCTCTCGGTAAGGTTCTCTCAAAACTTGGTAAATATCTCTTGAATTACTTTGTTGAATGAGTTGAATGAATTGAGATGTGGCTGTGAGTATTAGTACCCGCCACCTGTGAGGATCTTCCTCCGAATACATGCAGGAGATACGTATGTGTTTGTGAATGTTAGTACCCGCCATCTGTGTCTAAGAAAAAGGTATGGAATTGATTTGAATTGATTTGGTGAATGAAAGCTTGAATGTGCTTTTTATTGTCACCGGTCATTTATGAGGAAATGCCTCTAAATTCTATCGGGAGATTTTAAATGTCACAACTGAATTGGGAAGTTGAAGTAAAAAATGATGGTAATAAATGTAAAACTGTGAATTAAAGTTTCATATTTGAACATGATCACAGCATGATATGTTTAGTATGATTATAATGTTGTGAAGAGAGAAGGTAAAAACCCTGTATAAGTTTGGACCTATTTGTCTTCAAATAAACTGACCCCACCTTTTGGATTGGGACAACTTAAAAGACATCTGCGCTCTCCTCTCCTGCTTCAAAGGTAAGATTGCACCCTGCCACACTCACACTTAGGTAGTGTAAGGGAATATTTCTGTCTTACTCCTAAGTGTCAAAGAATAATTATTCCTTACGCTTAAACAGATTAAGAGGGTCGTCTGAATTGAAACAGCAGTTAATTGAACCTGGTTCTTCGGGGAGTTAATACATTACATTACATTTAAGAATAAGTGCGTTCGACCAACAAGATACAAACTTGAAGAAAACAGAATCATATAAGTACATCAGGTTTCATAGAGCTAAAACATTTCAAGTGCTACTCAACTGGCTTTAGATAAGCCAGTCCTTTATTAGTATAGAAGTGCTTTGTTAGTAATTATATCGCTCGAAGTGGAGTCCAAAGAGATGAGTTTTCAACACAATAGAGGTGAGATCTTGCTGACGTCGGTGGATCTGAGCCAAGCAGTAAACTTACTCAATAACTTCGGTTAGGTTAGTTAGTAGGTCTGAGTAATTTGCCGGAATAAATGATCCGCCCTCACCGACTCTAACAAGTCAAAAAGTCTTTATAATATCCTGATAAACGACAATCTCAGAAACCTCATGGAGGAAAAACCACGTCGCTATCAGCTGGACTCACAAGGTGATGAATGAACCCTAACACACTGTGAGTCTTCTGACTGAAACCTGATCACGTAATGACCGACTGAATGAAAGTCCATGTTTTAATGAGATTACCGGTAGAAACACGAGGTAGATTCAAACAAAAGTACTAAATGTAAAGACCTTTAACTAAAATATAAGTTTAAAGAGTGTAATGAGATGCTATATGTTGGAGAAATTAACAAAAAGGCACATTTAAGGGATAATAATTCAAGATATAACGACATTTCTTATTCGTATCAATAAAATAAAGCAATTTGTGTTAATTTATTATATTTTCATAAAGTATCTTCACAAATTGTTCTGCTCTCGTATACAAATTGACATTTTTAGATGCCATACTAAGAAAACGTCATACTATGTTAGGAGGAATGAGAAAATGCTAAATGGACACTTATTCAACACAGAAAACTGGATTACAGAATGACATGTTTTAAGATGACTTGATCATAGTTCAATGAATACAAAGTACATACTGTCCTCGAGCCGCGATATCATTTAAAACAGTGTAAGAAGAAGCTTTAGGTTATAAAAAAGCACATTTTAGACAAACTTATCCAAGATAGCACTCAATTATAGTGACATTTCTTATTAAAATCATTCAAATAAATCAATTTTCGCATTAAATAATTCCATTCTCATAAAGTTACCTCAGATACAAATATATAAATCCCAATTGAATCACTTTCTACCTTAAATAACACACAGTTTTTGGTGCATATCCCTTTCAGAGTCACTCACCGTTGGTCCGGCTCATGTCGGCTCTCAGCTGTAAAGAAACTTCTCTTTCTGTTTCCAGGAACTCGTGACGACTCCACCACAGAAACAAACCTCTGCACACACACGGAAAAATGTCCTTACATAATAGATATGAGGTGTGTGTCTAGGTGTGTGTGTGTGTGTGTGTGTGTGTGTGTGGACATACTTCAGATGCCTGGAGGATCCACCTGTCAGTGATTTCCCAGGTGAACCTCAGACAGGTGTGTTAACTGAGAACAGAAAATGGAACTAACAGCTGTGCAGTGTGTTTCCTGTGACAGAGTACTTACAGAAAGAGCAGGGACATTTTAATATGACATCAGGAAGCTTGTAACGTTATTTAAAAACAATATTTCCGCCTGTTACTCACCTGTTTATCCCTGCTGCGTTCCCTTCTTATTCACATGCTGATTGATACCCATATAGTGTTTCATTTAAACACATTGTTATTTGTTTCAATATATGTATTTTCACCTATTTTTTTATTGATTTTATGTTTCCTTTTTATACTTCTTAGGTTTATTGTTTGTGTTCAAGCATCATTTCACAATTGTATTCATATTTGTTATAGTTTATACCAATATTTCCTGGTCTTTTTTCATATTTGTGCTAATAAATAATATATATTTGAAACAATACATATTATTTTCTAGCTAATATGCATGTGTATATAAATGTTTAAGCTACACACCACAACAAACAATCAGGTTATTAATACAAGACTGGTCCAGTCAAAATGCAAAGTGAAATGAGGCAAAGGACAACACGCAGACAGAAAATCACAAAGCATGACAAGACTTTAAATATATATGATGCCCTCTCCTCCGGTGCTGTAGGTGTCGCTGCGGATCCCCGGTTCCTCTCTCCGGTGCTAAAGCTCCTCTCGTTGTTCCTCTCCTCCTTTGGACCCTCCCACTGTCTGAAGAGTGACACGCCATTCAATCTTCTACCCGAAACCGAGAGGAAGCACCGACTCTCTGCACACAGGAGAACCATTAATAACACAAACAAGATTGAACAGAAAGCAGCTGCGAGGAGAAGGAGAAACAGAAGAAGAGGAGGAGGAAACACCGAGTCCTGTCGACATGGGGATCCGAAAGAAGACCACCAAGACCCCGCCGGTTCTGAGCCATGAGTTTGTGATCCAGAACCATGCAGACATTGTTTCCTGTGTTGCTATGGTGTTCCTGCTGGGGCTGATGTTCGAGGTGAGTCCACATGCTGAGGTCCAGATATCCAGGTCCTCCACATCTGTCCATCTGTCCGTAAATAACATGTCTCCACTTCCTCCTCTCATCCAAAGTTTCTGTGCCCGCTGCTGGCCTCTTTTTCCTGCCTCTTACTCCACCAGTAAATATGCTTAAAAGGGGGGCTCTTACGCATCTTTACGGGTCTTTGAAGCTTCATTTTTATCCTATCTCCAAAAAAAAACTACTATTCTCGTCTTTTTTTGGTAACGTGACGCATGCTAGAGTCCATCTGGCAGCTTCCCATCTCCAAATCCATATTGACATCCTAAAGTTTTTTCATGTGCAGCTTTATTCTTGTTTATTGTTATTATTGTTTAATAGTGTGTGTTGCAGACTCGTATCTTTGCATGTGTGTGAGTTATTTAAATATCGCTGTGCTCTCTGTGCGTAAATGGGTTACGTGGCAATCACACACACACACCGCCTGCGCTCTGTCATCCCTCACACGCACTCTAAGTTAAATATAGACGTGAAATAAATGTTTTAATTGAAATTTAGTGCTGCAGAGTGAACATTTAGCCCCCTATCTGCCTGCTGGGACACTTTATTTTACATTAAATGTGATTTTAAAGCGAGTTTCATCCTCGAAGGGAAACAGCGCCATTAGGCGTTTCAACTACTTCCTGTTTTTGTTCACCAAAGTAAAACTCTAACAGCTGTTGCATCGTGTGTGGTACTTTTGCTGCACCATGCACTTTCAAATATAATAACCACTAATGAACATTAAATACTACTTCGGTTTAATGACATGTTTGTTTATTTTGTTGTGAAAGAGGAAACAGTTACTCCCTGTTCCAGCGTCACATCTAATACTAATACTTTATTGGTAAACTCACGACTATTTTATTACATTTCTAAACTTATTAAAGTCTAAATATGCTAAATATCTCTATATATTTGACATATGGCCATTTAATTAAAACGGCTTAATCAATGTTTTTATAATTATGGTTTATTTGTGATTTGTAAAATGCTTTTTCTCCTATGATTTGTGTATTGTCTGTAAATGTCCCATTTTTAAGGTGATATCTGCTAATTAAAGTATAATTATCTTGTATTAATTGACTTTTACACAAAGTATTGAAAAGCAGATCAAAGCCTTTTAATTAAAGCTAAATAACTGATGCATTTTTTACTTTTTTAATACAATATATAACCCTGCCTTGTTTGATTTAACTGTTAAAGTTCATGTATGTAGGCCTTTTCTTTTATTAATCAACAATATATATATATATATATACAGACAAAATACAAGAATTACCACAATGAAATTGTTTTTGGGTCAAAAACCTCACATTTTATGGTGAAAAATGTACAAACTTTATGATAAAGTGCATTTTTTCAAGTCTTGATGTGAGTATGAAGTAAAACTAAATCAAAAAAGAGAAATGCCATCTATAGATAACAACACAATTAACTATAACCTCCTATAATCATATTTAAAGTTGTATTTTAAAATGTGCTTTTATACTTACATGTCTTTACCGTCTACAGGTCACCTCGAAGTTTGCCGTGCTCTTCATCACCGTGCAGTACAACGTCACCATCTCAACCAGCGGTGAGTCTCCAGAGGTCATTAAAGCGCATGTTAGGAGACGATGTGTTAAAATAAACTCTAGTCGTCAGCGAGAAGCCTCTCATCCGGACTCTGAGACATTTAGAGATCTTCCTTCTGTCCCTGGAGCCACATGGAGTCCTGGTGCATAAAGTGCATTCGGGCTGAGGTGGAGTTCAGGCCTCTCGAGGTTGTTCCTCTGCAGATACAGTGTGTGTACAACGCTGGAGATCACACACACACACACACACACACACACACACACACACACACACACACACACACACACACACACACACACACACACACACACACACACACACACACACACAGCTGCTGATTCAGGCCTTATCTGAGAGCGCTGTAACTTATTTACAGTGTGTATCAGATTGAATAAACATTATGCAGCACTGAAAGGAAACAGATTCAACAATTCCTTCTTGTGCTGTTGGTGCATGGATCACGAGCAGAGGAGTGTGTCTCACATTGTTGCACAGATACAGGGTGTGTGTGTGAGGATGAAATGTAACTCCAGTGTGTGACTCTTAAAGCCTCAAAGTGGTGCAACACTGCGAGGCCGAGACACTTTAATCCAGACAGATCTAAGGTGATGAAACGTGTGAATCACAGCATGGACTCGTGCTCCGAAACCAGGTGACGCAATGTTTGAGGATTTGAGTTCCTGTAGGAAAAACGTGTTCGAATGGCGCTCTGAATAAAGTGTTGAGGTCCTGCAGAAATAAATCAGGAATCTTCACCATTTGACATTACAACACACATTTGGTTAAATATATTTAATGTTTATCATTTTAGTACAATGTCCCATTTTATTTGATAATATTATTTCTTTTTTTTATATATTTTTATATATTTAATTGCATTTCATTTAGTCATTTTAAATTTGATTCCATCCTTCTTGAATTGAGCAATTGTCACACAACTCTTGGTATTCAGATTCTTATGATTATCCTGAATTTGTCTAAAGAAAATTGTGCAGAAATTCTGATATCAGAATTTCAATTTCAGCCAAAGATAATCACAAATCCACATTTCTAGTAAATTCTTTAGCTCTAAAGTTGGTGCGTGTGACTTTTCGGACATAAATGAAACACATTCCGGTTAAAATACTTTTTTTTAAACCATGCTCACTTTGTTTAGGCCCAGAGGAGACGCCGGTGAACCACTTCCACCACGGCATCAAAGACCTGGCCACAACCTTCTTCTACATGCTGGTGGCCATCATCATGCACGCCATCATCCAGGAGTACGTGCTGGACGTAAGTAATAATAATAATAATAACAATAAAGCTTTATTTATAAAGCACTTTTCATACAACACATGCAGCTCAACGTGCTTTACAGAATGACACATCACAAGTTCCTAAATAATAAAGAAACATTCTCTGAGNACTAACTAACTAACTAACTAACTACTATACTACTACACACACACACACACACACACACACACACACACACACACACACACACACACACACACACACTCTCACTCTGCATGTTTAAAGGTTGTTGTTTTCTGCAGAAAATCAACAGGAAGAAGCACTTCTCTAAAACGAAGCACAGCAAATTCAACGAGTCGGGGCAGCTCAGCGCTTTCTACCTGTTTTCCTCCGGCTGGGGGGCGAGCATCCTGATGTCTGTGAGTAACAGACAGTGATCCTTCACATCTGATTAACGTCCTAAAACTCTCCTAACTATAACTTAAAACCCTTCTCTGTGCTCAGGAGAACCTGCTGTCCAACCCTGTGTCTCTGTGGGAGGGGTACCCACACACACTCATGCCGTAAGTCGACCATTTTACAGATTGTTAGGGGATTTGAATGAATAATATGTAACATGTCTGCAGTAACATACACCAGAGGCTTCAGAGGAATGTGTTGTTTTTACCGTACGCTTTTTAGAGCTTGGTGCTTTTTAAGTCTTTATTTTAACCAGAAAAGGGATTTTAATCGTCATATGATTTCTATATATATTATTTTTCCAAAGTATATTTCCACATTCTTTTGTTTCTTTTTTTAAGACGTATTTTCTAGGTTTGAGAAGTCTGGATTTGTAGTTCTTATTGAAACAAGCTGATGTTTGATTATGAGTAGCAGAAAATTATGCATTGAAGTCTTCCAGAAAAGCCGTCATATTTGACATTATTTAAATTAACAGCTTTAAGTGTGGCTGTTCATGATCCGTTTAGAACATATTCTTACTCCTGATTCTCCCTCAGATTCCAGATGAAATTCTACTTCATTTGTCAGCTGGGCTACTGGCTGCACGCTCTGCCTGAACTCTACTTCCAGAAGACAAAGAAGGTGTGTGTGTGTGTGTGTGTGTGTGTGTCTTCGACTTCCTGTCTGGTCGTGTTTCATTGTTTCCTGCTCGACTCCTCTGTATTTATTTGGATTCTGTGTTTCAGGAGGATATTCCTCGGCAGCTCGTCTACATTTTCCTCTACCTCGTCCACATCGCTGGCGCCTACATCCTCAAGTAAGACTAGAACCAGAACCAGAGGGCTTCCTTTAATCCGGGGGGAAATGGGTTTGGAGACAGTTGCTCCATTTTAGAGTGAAGTCAAATAAATGTAAAAATGTGCAGAAAAAATTTATATAAATATAGAAAGTTACAAAGTTATGAGTTATTGTTAAAAAAAAACAATAGAACATAAACATGTGTAATTATACACATATAGACAGTTTAAAATATGTCAATAGAGCATCTTTATCAAATACACAGAATAAGTTAGAATACCAAACTACTACAAACATATTTACATCCTTAAACCTCTGTGGTTGTGATGAACATCTCTGCTGTCCTTCTGTACAAAGTGTGTGTAGTCCCTGTTTTAACAAAGTGTGTGTGTTTCAGTCTGAACCGCCTGGCTCTGGTTCTGCTGGTTCTTCACTACGTCGTCGAGCTTCTGTTCCACATGTCCCGCCTCGTTTACTTCAGCAACGAGACGCGTCAGTCTGGGTGAGTTCTTCCTCTCCTCAGTTCCCAGTATATATAAATATGTATATGCTGTATATATTCCCAGTATATATAAATATGTATATGCTGTATATATTCCCAGTATATATAAATATGTATATGCTGTATATATTCCCAGTATATATAAATATGTATATACTGTATATATTCCCAGTGTATATATAAATATGTATATACTGTATATATGCGCAATCCAGATCCACTGATGGTTTCTTTCTCTCCAGCTTCACGCTCTGGGCGGTTCTGTTCGTTCTGTGTCGGCTGCTCACTCTCTCTCTCTCCGTCCTCACCGTGGGATTCGGACTCGCAACCTCGGAGAACCAGGGCTTCGATCTGTCCGCAGGAAACTTTAACGTCATCTTTGTTCGGTGAGTGTGAGCGAGAGGACACACGGGAAGATAGGATACACATTTTTAAGAGTGATATTAGTCTGAAATACAAAAATGCAATAGCCTGTAAAAGTATAAACTCCAAATATCCACTTTTGAAATAACTTTTAGCACATTGTTTATGAGTTTATGATTCTTAATGCACACTTTCTTCGTTCATTTCATAATTGTTTTTTAAGGTTTTATTTCATTTTTAACAAAACAAGACCTTCCTTTAAAATATATTGAAATAAATAGAAGTTTTTCTTCTAATTTCAATGCAGGATCATCAGGTTGACCACTTACAATAAAGACCTTATTTCCACCCTTTCTGTGTATGACCAGTCATTCAGGAAGAGGAAGAGGAAGAGAGGGGCTCAGCAGTAAATTAGACCAAAATGTAGCCTCAACACGTCGCTGATACTTCCTTGAAACACAGAAACACACGTCTGTTCTGCAGACTTCGAAAACGTATTGTGTGTGTGCGACATCATTCACTGCTTCGGACATACCGGAGTGTCCGAGGGTGGACTGATATCCCATTTCTACCCGTATATAACTGTATTTAAATATTTGATTTGCAGGATCACCGTCCTGGCGGCCATTTGCCTGACGCAGGCCTTCATGATGTGGAAATTTATCAACTTCCAGCTGAGGAGGTGGAGAGAACACGGCCTGACGCAGAACCTGAAGAAGAAGCAGGTTCCCGCCAAGAGCAAATCGAAGAAGGACAAAGGTGAACACACACACACACACACACCTACACACCTGCACACACACACACACACACACACACAGCTACACACACAGCTACACACACACACACACACGCACACACAGCTGCACACACACAAACAGCTAGACACACACACACAACACACACACAGCTGCACACACACACAGCTACACACACACACAGCTACACACACACACAGCTACACACACACAGCTACACACACAGCTACACACACAGCTACACACACAGCTACACACACAGCTACACACACAGCTACACACACACACACACACCTACACACACCTACACAAACACACCTACACACTCACACACACACAAACAGCTAGACACACAGCTACACACACACACACACACACACACACACACACACAGCTACACACACACACACACAGCTACACACACACCTACACACACACCTACACACACACACACACACACCTACACAAACACACTCACACACACACCTACACACCTACACACTCACACACACACAAACAGCTAGACACACACACACACACACACACACAGCTGCACACACACAGCTACACACCTACACACACACACACACCCACACCTACACACACGCACAGACACCTGAACACACCTACACACCTACACATACGCACACACCTGAACACACCTACACACACACCTACACACACACAGACACCTGAACACACACCCTGCACATCAGTGTGTTCCTCTGCACTGGATATGAAAACAAGCAGTAAATTCACAGACAACATAAAAGCAGGATACTGAGAAGAAAATCAAAGAACTGAGCCAAACAAAAGAAAAACAGGGCTATTATAAATAAATATACACTTAAAATANAGCAGGTTCCCGCCAAGAGCAAATCGAAGAAGGACAAAGGTGAACACACATCACACACACCTACACACCTGCACACACACACAGCTACACACACAGCTACACACACACACAGCTACACACACACACAGCTACACACACACACAGCTACACACACCTACACANGCCATTTGCCTGACGCAGGCCTTCATGATGTGGAAATTTATCAACTTCCAGCTGAGGAGGTGGAGAGAACACGGCCTGACGCAGAACCTGAAGAAGAAGCAGGTTCCCGCCAAGAGCAAATCGAAGAAGGACAAAGGTGAACACACACACACACATCACACACACCTACACACCTACACACCTGCACACACACAGCTACACACAGCTACACACAGCTACACACACACAGCTACACACACACAGCTACACACACACAGCTACACACACACAGCTACACACACACAGCTACACACACAGCTACACACACAGCTACACACACACACACCTACACACTCACACACACCTACACACTCACACACACACACACTCACTCACACCTACACACACACACTCACTCACACCTACACACACACACACACTCACTCACACCTACACACACACACACTCACTCACACCTACACACACACACACACACACAGCTGCACACACACAAACAGCACACACACACACACACACACACACACACACACACACACACACACACACACACACACACACACACACACACACACACACACACACACAGCTACACACACCTACACACACACACACCTACGCACACGCACAGACACCTGAACACACCTACACACACACCTACACACACTTGCAAAGACACCTGAACACACCTACACACACACACCTACACACACACACCTACACAGACACCTGAACACACACCCTGCACATCAGTGTGTTCCTCTGCACTGGATATGAAAACAAGCAGTAAATTCACAGACAACATAAAAGCAGGATACTGAGAAGAAAATCAAAGAACTGAGCCAAACAAAAGAAAAACAGCGCTATTATAAATAAATATACACTTAAAATAATTAAGGTGATTAAAAAGACAACATCACATACAAAAATAGTCTATATAAATAGATTTTAAAATGTTTACAAGTGAGGGATTTAATGATCATTTCCCCTTCAATGTATCCATGCTTACGTTAACACGGTTAATTGATAAAATGACACTAATTGAAATTCTTCTTCTCTCTTTTAGCCAACGGAGTAAACGGAGTGAACTCCAACGGAGCGGATTCACCGAGAGCGAAGAAAGAGAAGTCGTCATAA